GTGTAAAGCGTTAGGTTAGGTTAAGATAAATTGCATTATATCAACCACAATATTTGAATGTATATTTAYATAATAATATAGTTATTTCAATGAGTGTGTGTGTGCGAAATAATTCAAATATTTATTATAGGTATACGTAGACGATCGCTGTATATGTATTCTGCAAATACCAATAACGAAGAGCAATAACCAATACTTACGGCGTTTAACGTTTCATCTTGATTGGCGGTTTTGTTTGCTAATTTATGTGCAACTGCACGTACGCGCACGTTTCTGCGGCGACGAAGAGTAATTTAATGATAATAAGTAATAACATATTATCATTCAATCGTTTTCAAAAAATCAATAGTATTTTTTCCACCATTCAAAATAGATTTTTTCTGTTCAACTTCGAGTATATATATAGTATAATACTATACATATTATATGTAGGTATAGGGACTAAGAAAGAATGGAAGATTCACGACCAAATAATAGCAATAATGCACTAAGTACACCATTAAATAGTTAGCGTTTTGAACCATCCACCCTACGGATGTTGTACGACTACGGACAGAGGTTTAAGCAGATGGATACTAGCAGGGGACTCTGTCGTCTCCCTTWAATATAGACCKTGCTTAAAAAAGGGTCTGCTTTAACATTTTCTTAAAAAAGTAAAGTGGTAAGCTTAAGTCTTTAAGCGGAAACAAAACAATTTCTGCTGTTAAAAACAATTACCTATATTTATTTATATCACCGGTCTTCGTTACTTCCGCGTGACAAACATCATATTATTATAATTTGATAGCGACTTAATAATTTATCCTATATAGTTTATAATATTCTAGAGATTCTTCAGGTTTTAAATCTTGACCGAGTTCTAGTTCGACCGGTGTTACCGGCTACCAGGTATAGGTACCTACGCTTTACACTACAATTCTCCGTATGCTATATGGTCGTTGTTGTTGTTATTATTACGTGTACCTACCTGTACTTTTTTTATATCATGCATTCTTCACCGTGTTAAAACACAAGTGTAATAATGTTGTTATGATGGTTTTTTTTTTTTACTGAATGACGTTGCACATTTACACTTTGTGTAAAAATAATAATTCTTAAATATAGTATTATTCTTCTTACCTCATTAAAATAATATGTTCTGCGACCATAACCACGTAGGATGGTTGGCGTGACTGTGTTTTAAATCAAATAATAATAATAAGGATGATAAATACCGAATTACTGTTGGTAGGAGTTGGGTGGTCGACCGATTCACTCGAGACCGGTTTTTTCTTCTATACCATAAAACATCAACCTTTCATTATAATTATATGTGTATTGATAAATAATATAAAAGCACACTAAATATACYAAATAAATCCATAATACCGATCCTAATTGCACTTAATAGTTAAGGCTAAGCTTATAGAACACCCGAGGGATATCTGGAGACTGTTGCGGAACCGTATATTTTTCCTGTCAAGACAGTAGTCTGGCACAACGACGAGCATGTTATTATTATTGTTATAAAATGTTTATATAATAACTCTGATAATGTACAATATTAGTGGACTGAAAAATACATGATCTAAATGATTTTACATATTTAACGATATCATCACTCATCATCGTAATGTTCACCATCGAAACATCCAACGGTTAAAATTATGTACTGATACGTAATCTGACATACAGTACCTTAAGTACCTATAATATGTAAAATATTATGTGAAGCATACATAATCTATATGTATATAGTGTTATGTTATGAGTTGAAAATTACATGAAGATCGACGGTTATTACTTATTACGGTTATCACAGTTAAGTCATCCTTTTAGCTTTTATGACATGGAAATATTTTTCTATTAGTCGTATATGATGATTAACATTAACGATAAAATGTAGGTAAGTACCTACCTTAACTAACAACTATATAAAAAAAGTATAAAATTAATATGAATAGATCGTACTGTCGTATGAATAATATAATTATGAACACAATACTGAACACATTGTGACGCTCATTATAACGGTAAATTAATTAAAAATGTTCTWAATTTATTGCCGGAAACMTTCCGGAAACTAATTGAATTGTGTATAAAATAAATGAGCGGAACGCAGAACATTAAATCGTTCTCCACTATTGCAATTGTATGTATAAGAAGAATATGTAAAATTGATATCATTAATAAAATTAATAAAATATACTATAGAAGTATAGAATAATAAAGAAATACTTTTATTTATCTATATATCAGTAATTAATAATTGGTAAAYTTATARCCACCTATATCTACCTTAAATTTAAGTATCAACTAAATAAAATTACTWATATAAATGAAACAATATGTTTTTTCTGGTATTTCTACAAATGATTTTCATCATGCATATTTTATTTTTATGTAACAAATATTTATGTAGGTATATTATTATGTTTTTTTCTTATATTTTTAAATATTATTATTAAAATAGTTAGGCACTACTGCAGTTTACTATTTAAATCTAAGTGCAACATATTGTAAGATTCACTTTTTTCCTAACATAAATTCATACAATTCTTTTAGAGTAAAAATTGTTTAAGTGATCATATAATTGAAATAGTTGTGCATATATCGATTGGTCTATTAWTTTTTTTTTCATATTGTTTTGGACGTTAAATTACGACCATACAAAGATCCACAAGACAGAGCATGTTTATTTCATTATGGCTTAGGCGAGAGACAATACGTATAATGTATGTGTTCGCGTATAGTAGGTAAATACATCTATAAATAAATTAGGAAGTGAGCCGRACAGCCATWACAAAAACATTTATTCAGTTTTTCTGAACGTGACACCAGACACCATGCATAGTAAATACTATACACATACATTATATAGGCATGATGTGTTTTGTGTGTTCAAGTTCAATGAGATTCGAAAGCAGTATTCGAACAAAAAGTGGAAACGCGTATTGCAATATTGCGTGTTCGAGAGTCCCTCAGTCTTCGTTGCTCACGTTCAAAATTGGATTCTTATCGCGTGCAAGTGCGGCGAKATGATCACGAGCACCTACAACAAATATCGCAAACTGTATATTATAATTTTAAATATAGTTACCTGCATGGGTGTATATGAGTGATCAGTGCCGAATTTATTTGGAGTGCGAGGGGTGAAATATACTTACCTTAAAGTTGAGTT